CGCTCATTTTATAGATAAGAAAACTGAGATTCAAGAAGGCTGAAGTACTTGTCTAAGGTCACAGAGGCAGTCAGTATTGGAAGAAGGATTTGAACCTCTTTCCTCATCTCTTTACACCATACAATATTGCCTCCATGATCTTAGACAATTAATATAATAATAGTTGAGTGAAATATTATTACCATACCATAAGAAATGATGAGATCAAGAGTTTCAGAGGAAACTCGAAAGACCTGATGAACTGATGCACAGTGAGAAGAATTAGGACAATTTATAACATGACAATAATATTATAAAGCCAAACAACTTGGAAAGGCTTTAGAACTTTCATCAATGCAATGATAAACCATGAATCCAGAGGACTAAAGATGAAACATGCCATCTCCCTCCTGCCAGAGAAGCGACAGACTTAAAATGCAGAATGAAACCAACGTTTTTTGGACATGGCCAACATGGGAAGTTGTTTTGATAAACTATGCATATTTGTAATAAGGGTTTCCTTTTTCTTTTCTTTTTTTTTAAACCATTCAGATGGGGAGCAATGGGAAAGAGGTAATAAATGTTTGTAAAAATTATTAATTTTTTCAAAAGACAGGTCAGCCCTAATTTTAGGGGAAAAAAGGAAGAGGGTCCCATGAAAACAATAAAAAACAATTTTAAAAAATAACTGATGTTTGTATCATATTTTGCACACATTATGTCATTTGAGATTCAAATTAATCCAGAGATAAAGTGCTACTGAAATTATTATCCCCATTTTATGGATAAAGAACCTAGGGCTAAGAGAAATGACTTGTCCATGGTCACACAACCAATAAGGGTCAGAATTAGGATTCAAATCCAGATCTTTCCTGACTGCAGGTTCTGGGCTTTTTCCTGCTACAATATGCTGCTGCAATGTACAGGGAAAAGTCAGGCCTTTTTTGAGAGGGGAGGGGGGTAGTAAGGGAGTGGCTGGATTCCCCTTTGTGAGACAAGAAGAAAAAAGTTATATTACTTCCTAACCATATTGTTTTCCTCATTCACCATGGTAAATATTGAAAGCAGAAAGTTATGAATTTTAAAAGGACAAAGTAAAACTACAGGTCTGACAACCACAGACCCGGCTCTAACTAAGCACCCTGATAGGAAGAGAAGCTATGACAAAGATTACAGATAACTATCCTGAAATATTTAAAAGGCAGTCACCAGCAGGTGAGAATAGGTGTGTTCCACATTACTCTAGAAAACAGAACTGATGGATGTAAGTTACAAGGAGGCAAATTTTGGCTCAACATAAAAACCTGTGTAACAAACACTAAAAGGCAATAAGCTCTAATTGCATGGAGTTATTCAAGCAAAATAAAAATGGATTTTTGTCACGAATATTATGAAAGAGGAGAGACATCAGAGGAAGGACTGAAGGGCCTCAGGGCCACGACTTTCTGGGTTCTGCCTTCAGTTCATACTGGCAGTGAGAAGGCAGATCCTGGGCAAGTCATTTAACTGACAATTGTTGATCTACATGGGTAGAGGGGTTTTCTTTGCCTGATCACCTTACACAAATGAAATCACAGCAGTGGAGGGAAAGTAGGGAGGATGAATTCCATAGAACAGATTCCAGAAATGGCTGGGAAGTTACACTAATTGACCTCCAAAGTGTAAAGCATATACAATAATAGAAAGAATAATCATATAATCAGCCCCTTTTACCTCTAAGACTTCTTCCCATGCTTTCCAAGCCTATATTCTGTAAAAACAACTGGAAATATCAACTGTCATTAAGGTTAAGAATGGGATATTTAGAGTGGGCTGGGCATTCCTAACTGCTCAAATGCTGATTAGATTGGAGTAAAACATATCAGCGAACTAAATTTGCCAAGGTTTTGGGCACAGCGCCAAACAATACAGACACACAGGGAGACAGCTATGGTAATGTCATCATTCTGGATACTAACAGCCAAACTGGTGAATATTTTGGTGGGGTGGGGCCTTCTTCAAGTCCCAGGAACTACAGACCCCTGAGGTCGCTAATATCTGACACCAGGCTTCTGCTGCTTCATTGGCACGGAGCTCGCTCCAGACCTGTGACAGCCCGGAGAGGATGTGGAAGGGAACTAACTTGGATTCAGGGCTGACTCGAAGCAGACCTTTGTTTTTCGAAGGTTTTTCTTTCTCTCTCGTCTTTGCTTTCTCTGTGTGGGTGTTTATTTTTTTTTCCGGTGGTCCCCAAGTATTTCAGCTTATGAAAAGTGACTCCGTCCTGACACCTCGTGCCTTCACTGAGCCTTTCAGGGGCCTTGGGAAGGAAATGAGAGGAGGTGGATATGCACCTCCTCCTTTGTCTCTCTTTCTTCCTCACTTGCCACCAACGTGGGTCAGAACGAAGTCGCTCTGATACCTGCGAGAAACCTGAGACAACCGCGGCTTCTCAACTTGGCGCAGGTGAAGGAAGGGGGAGAGGGAGGAGAAGGAAGGGGAAGGGGGAGTGAGAGGAAGAAGGGGAAAGGGAGGGAGGAGGGAGGGGGAGGGGAAGAGAGAGGGGGGAGGGGAAGGGGGGGAGGGGAAGAGAGAGGATCGGGTGGGTCGGAAGGAGGAACACGCCCCTATCCCAGGAACTTTCCAACCTCCCAGCCCAGCCCAGCCCAGCCCCAGCCTGTGCCTACTCACATCGGTCAGTCCTCCGCGATCATCCGTGTCCTGGCCGCTCAGCACCTTCTTCAGCTTGTCCATCTCGGGCCTCGACACCACTCAAAACTCCGTCCAAAGCAAACTCCGGTACCCCTTCCTCGCTTCCTGTTACTATTGCAACAATGTATTTATCTTCCGAGGTGCGCGGCTCTAGAGATACAAGTAGACAGCTGAGTCCACCCCGCCGAACACCATCCGGCCCGGCGTCGCCCGGCCCCGCCCCCCAACCCCCACGCTGTTTAACACCCACCTGTGGCGTGATTCCTGAAAACTACAGAGCCCGGCATGCAGTGCTCTGACCGCCCGTAGGGCTCAGTCATGCCATCCTCTACGAAAGCACGAACCTTAGTTCTGGCCTCCGGTCTCAGAGATTCCTCCACTCAAATTCTGGTTTTTCCAGGCTTTGTTTTGAAATTGCAGGAGAGGTGAAGAAGGGATGCCAGTCGAAGAAAAATTTGACGTTCTTTTGTTTTGCAAAAATGACTCAGATCACCAAATCTGCCCACCCCCTTTGCTCAGAGTTTAACCCTATTTGAAACTCCCAGGGAAGTCCATGAAATTCAGGTAGCATCTCTAGATGGTTTCTTGAGGATATCACAGAAAACAGACTTAATTCTTTCCCTCTCTGAACCCATCTATGTGGGCATAATGATTGCCTCCGGATGATAGAGAGGAAGCAGCCCTGGATTTGTTTGGAGTCAGAGGACCTGGGTTCATAAGTGGACTCTACCACCTACCTACCTGTGACCCTGGGCAAGTCGCCTCTTTGGGCCTCAGTCTCTTCATCTGTAAAAAACAAAGGACTGGATTAGAAAACCTCCAAGGGTCCTTACGGCACTAAATCTGGAGACCAGGATTGGGGTCCCAGTTCTGCCCACAGTTAATTGTGTAATAGGGGCAAATTCCACACAGTCTCCTCCCTCTACCCACATCACAGATTTGTTGTGAGGAAAGCACTATGAACAATGTGGGTTATTTTATGAGGATGATAATGTGAAGATAGCTATAACCCAGATCATATACTTGAAATAAATCCATAATTCTTGTCAAGTATATGGTACTCAGCCCACTGATGTTTCAAAACTGCTTAGGGATAGTGGCAAGAACTGCTATAGTCAAATTTCTGTTAATAAACTTGAATGAGTGAATGAATAAAAAGTATTTATTAAGGACTTACTATGTACCAGGCATTGGCATTCAGTCTGTTAGCTGCCCTCCTAATTTTGTGTCCCCTGTATAATGATAAATTGCCACTTTTGCTTTCATCTAATGCATTGATGTTCATGTTGAATAGAACAGATCTATAAGCATGAATATCTGTGGGCAATACAGAGAGCAGTGATCAAGATTGAACTTGGAAGAAGTTATATTAGCTTCAGATGTAAACAATAAGTGAAACAGAAAGGAAGAAGGAAGCCAAGGAAACAAATCAGGCTTTATTGGGGAAGGCCACTCCATAAACCCTTTAATTTTCAATCCCAAAGCTCTCTTCCCTAAAAGCTCTGATGGCCTTAGAAAAACAGGGACAATCACCTATTGATCCTTGTTGTCTCAGCCTTATACTTAAGAATGTATTTAGAATTCTGGGGCTGGTAATTGACCATTCATTAGGGGCACACACACAACCAATTTCTGTATGGTTACTTCTGTCCACAAGCTGTTTTGGTCAATTCAATTCAAAAGTATTGTTCTGCGCCTACACAGAACTGTTTTAAGAGGAGTGAGGGATATAAGAAGTATATACTGAGATCCCTGTCTTAAAACAACACACCCTCTGGTGGGGATCTATCTATACACATTAAATGATTAGAGGACAAAACAGGGCAATCAATATTCTCCTTATGGAAAACAATCAATTGTCCAAATATCCTAAGGGGTAGAAAACAGAAGTTGATGTTGGAGAAGGCTTCCTAATAGAGACATTAACTGGAAGGGTCATAAATGAATTAATGTGGGTAGAATCTGGATGGGAGGAAAGGAGGAAAGATATTTCAAAGCCAGGGAAGCAGAATAATCATGGACACAGAGGAGGGAGTAATTGTGGTGAGTTTTGTTTTGTTTTGTTTTGTTTAATAAGGTGACAACTCAACTAAGAGTTGTTGTTCAGTTGAGTCAGACTCTTTGTGACCCCATTTGGGGTTTTCTTGACAAAGATAATGGAGTGATTTGCCATTTCCTTCTCCAGCTCTTTATCTATTGTACCAATTAACTGCTAAGAGTAAAGATGACATATTGGTGAGTAGTGGGTTATAATGTTGAATAGGGTCCAGAAGATTTCATGCTTTTTGTTAGGGCTCAGAGAAGGCTTAGTAAGGTGGGAAGCAAACCCCAAAATTCTAGAGAAGGGTCCTCTAGGCCACCGTCACATAGAGAGCTTCTAAAGATCATTGGGGACATAAGGTCCAGGGCTGGGTCCTTCACACCAGTCTTAGATCTCCGTCAGTGTTGTGGGCCACATAAGGGCCTTGCGTTTGATACCTCAGGATTAGATGATTCCTAACGTCCTTTGCAATTCTCATCCTGTGGACTATTAATCACTCTGGTAATATATTCTTCCTGTACTTAGAATGTCCAAAGCTTCAAATGATGTCTCTACCTAATTATCCAACATCGTGAATTCATCTTTCTTATTGTTACTTTGGTCGCTTCACCCCCTAGTCCCAGCTCACTGAGTGGTTAAGGGCTAGGCTGGCTTTGTGATGTAGGGGGTTCAAAAATGAAGGAGCTGTTAAGACAGTCTACATGCTAATTTGCTTTTTGCCCTGTGCTTTTCATTCATGACTTCCTTGAAATATAGCTCTGAAAAAAACAGGCTTTTAAAAAAAATAATTTTTTAAAGAAGTCTAATGATTCTCTGGACCAGTCCATTGTGTTTCAAATAAACCTAGCCTTTGACTAGCCTTTAAACCCAAATCACTCAGGCTTTCATAGAATATCCAGTAACAGCCCCCTGCCCAAGCCTCTATGGCTCATTGTTTAGGTTTTGATAGCTTTAGAATGACTATAAATAGAAACTGTTTTCTGTTCTAGCTAGAAACTTTGAGGATCTTCCCCTCCTAGACTGATATTTTTGTGAAGACAATTAGGCCATCTTTTCTCTCAATTCTTACCTAGCTCTTAGTCATTGAATGGGTGTTGCCTCACACTGAGGCCTGGGAAAGACCTTAATTTAGAAAAGTCAAGGTCACCCACTACAACCTGGGCCATAACCAGTCAGCTTGACTTTTTTCCTGCTGCTGGACTGACTCCAGAGGACAAAATGAGGCTGACCACTTTGTGCAGCTCTGCCTCGCTTAAATCCAATTCAGTCCCAAGTCAAGAAAGAGATCAGTCTCATGATGGTATAATTAGTTTTCTTCAAGAATGAAGGATCAGCAACAACAATAACAACGACAGAAGCTCCAGATTGGAAGAAATCTCAGAGGTCAGCTAGTCCAAATGACTCCTGAACAAAAATCCTTTCTAGAACTACCAGAAAGTATTGATCTGAACTTTGCCCAAAGACTTCCTGAGTCAGTCTGATGGGGCTGATGGGGCAATGGGACCCCTGAAAAAGAAAAGCCTTTGAACTTTCCCAAAAATTTCAGCAACCAAGTCCCTGGTGTTTCCCTGAATCATCAGGTACATCCTGGTATGATCTTTTAAACTGCCTTTTCGTTGTCTTCACCTGACCCACCCCGGGCTACTTGCCACTCCTTGATCCCGTCTAGATCTTCTCACAGGCTTTCTGCTTAAAAATGCCAATCTTACCCCCATTAAATTGCACAGGTTCTTAGAATCTGGCCCACTTCTATTGGGCCAAATCACAAATACCACAGACTCACTAGACTCACTAGGAATCTCACCCAGCCAACCAGTGTCATAGTAAGCTCACTACTTGGACCAAAAGAAAGCTTGAGTGGCCGAATTCTTCCAAGGCAGACCTGCCCTGTATCCTTGCATTTTGGGGTTCCTAGCACCCCTAGACCACATCATATTTTGGTTCCCTGATGAGGAATCAAACCTGGGCTGCAGCAGTGAGAGCACCGAATCCTAACCACTAAGGATTATACTAGGGTGCGCTGGATGCCTCAGGGAAATGCCAGGGACTTGGTTGCTGAAATTTTTGGGAAAGTTCAAGGGCTTTTTCTTTTCAGAGGTCCCATTGCCCCATCAGCCCCATCAAATCTGTTTTAATTTGTTTAACAATAAGAGCCTCTGTTGGACCCAGAGGGCTAAAGATTTTTCTCTCACTCTCCACTATGGGACTCTTGTCAGCTCTGGACCCATACAGTTGACTTGGTTCAAAGATAGAGGGTGCACACTTGACTTCTAACAAGAGGGGTCAGTCTCCTTTTCTTACTCTTTGACTCTTCATATCCATCTCCCTAACCCTTTCTAGGAATTACTTAATGTTCAGGGTTGGCTCATGCCTAGGGTCTCCCATAAGGGGGAAACAGAAAAGGTACTCATTGTATAATGAAGAAGAGGTCTAGGAGAGCTATTTATTTCTTCTCTATAAAAGAAATGCTTAATATATACAAGAGTCACAAGTATGCATTGACAGAAAAACTTAAAGAAGCAGCAGTAATAACAATTACTGTTGTACTCTCCTGAAAAGTTGATTCTTTAAACATCAAAACATGTTGCGATTTGAGAGACTTGTGAATAAGCCTTTTGCATTTCACCTCAGCTCTGCACTGAACAAACAAGTTCCTTCAGGTCTGTGTCTTCTGGCAAGTCAGAAGAGGGGTTGAGCTCCTCCCCTTGTCGATGACCATCCTCTTTGTGACTCCTTTGTCCATTCTTCCTCAAATTTGAGACCTGGGATCTCCCAATTTCTCAAACATACAACACCACCTCCAAGACTGAACATGTCCATCTCAGGACAGGCAGTAGAAAAGGCAGAAGGAATCCCAAAACTCAGACTCAGCTGAGCTCCTTCTTTAGCCAGGCCCCTGCTTGGGAAGGGGGAAACCCATAAGAGTGCCATCATTCATTCAAAAAACATTTAAGCACCTAAAAAAAACTGTGCCAGAAAATGATATGCTGTGACAGTAGGGAGAGTATAAGTTATGTCTACATCATTCCCTTGATGTACCATTCTAGTATGTCGACAGGTTGAGGATCAATGGTTTTGTCAGTGACTAACTTAGACTACAATCTGTCCATTACTTACAAAGTCTTAGAGAATTGTTTGAGATTCAAATCATGTTTGTTGTTGTTTTGAGTAGTTTCGGTTGTGTCTGACTCT